CTCAGGTAGCGAGGAGGAGGAGTTGTCTCGGTGTGACGGCGGGACAGGTAGGGACTGTTTTCTGCGCTGCGTCCCCCGGACCTCTCTGCTGCTCCGTTGACTTTTGGGGTACGTCTCACCCCTCCGTCCGAGCCCCGTCGGCCTCCTCCGCCCTGGGAAAGTGACCGGACCTTAGCTCCAGGGCTGTAGGTCTTAGTGGTCTCTGCTCTTCGGCTGCTGTGGTTCAGGTTCGTCCATGGCCCGTCCCCTCTTTCTGCCCCAGGTCCTTTCTCTCTCTGCCTGGTTTGTAACGCCACTCCCTCTGAGCAGAGAGACACGTCCAGACTCTGTGTTGAGTGCGAAGGATACTGTTCACTGACCAGAGGAGTGCTCCTGCAGCTTTCTCCTCCAGTGTTGTAGGCACTGGTGCTGTCCTTGTCGGAGCGCTCCCGGTCTGGGAGCTCGTTGATGTCTGACAGCGCGTGGTGACACAAGTCCTCGCTGGCCAAGTTACCGATGCTGTCGAAGCGTCCCACGCCGCCTCCTGCTCCTCCTGCCGCCGCTCCGTTTTTCTCCTCCACAGGCCAGGCCTTCAGACATCGCTCCCTCAGCTGCTGCATCTTCTGCGCCCTCAGGATGTTGCGGCACTTGAACTCCAGGTGGCGCAGCTCCTCCTCCAGCAGGGCCAGTTCGTGCTGGGTCAGACCCTCGTTCCTGTTGACGTCCAGTGGGACGCCGTCGACCTCGTGCACGTTACTGTTCTGTTCGTAGTAACACTTGATCTCCAGCAGCTCCTTGTACCTCTCGCACTCCTCCTCCGTCAGCCCCGGCATCACCGTCCTCATGGCGTCGGCCACGTACGTCTTCTCCAGTCGCTCCAGCTGCTCCAGCCCTCCTCCACCGACGCTGTCCATCCCCCGGAGGGAGTCGGTGCTAAACCGGAGGTCATGGGAGTGCAGCAGCGCTGGAGCGTCTCCTGCTCCGGATAAAAACCTCCGCATGCTGCCCGGTGTGTTGGTGGCGTTCGTGTTGGAGGCGCTGGTGTGGTCGTCTCCCAGGAGGTCGTGTTCCGACGACTCCTCGTAGCGCGTGCTTTCGTCCGTGCGGCCCAGCCCACTGTCCAGCTCCTGACTGTTGCTCAGCACCGTCTGCAGCAGATCGGGCGAGTCCCTGCTCAGTGAGTGACCGTGGCTTCCTTTACCACCACCACCTGCGACACCACCTGGTGGAACGTCCGGGTCGGTGCTGTTGTTTCTCACTGCGTGGCTCCTGGACAGATGGACAGCATTGTCCAGTGGCTCCAGGTCCAGCTCATTCGGCTCCAGCTGGTTCTCGTTCTGGAAAGGTAAAGGTTAAAGGTCATAGTTGAAAAAACTTTTTTTAAATAAAGTGAAATATGGAGGAAATTTCGAGAATGTTTCAGCCGCTAAGTTATCAGTTACAGGTTAGAGAGACAACGGTTTAAAATCTTATAAAATGGGATTAAGCTATGACAAAAATATAATATTGATTTTAAATCAAAGATTTTTTAGTTTTTCTTGTGTTAGACAATGATGTGACCCGTTTAAATACAATAATATTGTGTTTTAATATTTTAAAACACATTTCGAATTCTTGTTTTTTGTGTTAATAAATGTTACACGTAAAATGTAATTTAAAAACACAACAAAAACAACAAATGTCCATTGTTTCCCTTGTGTTTGTGTGTGTGATTAGGTATGAAACATAACTAGTACTCAAGTACTTTTGCCAGTACTTTAGAAAAAAATACTGGTACTTTCTGGGTACATTTACAGGCACATGAATTTAACATTCTCTTGATTTGTCTTGATTTTTTTTTCTTAATTTAAATTTTTTTTTAGTTTTAATTTGAATAAAAACATAGTTTAGTGTCAACATGGAGAACGAGGGGGGGGGGCATAATAGTCACATCTGCAAAGGGGAGGGGTTGTGGGGGCTGCAGAAAAAGTTGGAGAACCGCTGATCTAGACTGATCCAGTCTGTGTACGTGACTTGATTTAACGTCTTTCGTTCTTACTGCGTTTCTCTTCATATTAGCCGACAGGTCACTCCTCGTACAGTGATTGGATTTGAATGTGAATTGTATGCAGATGACGTATTGATCATCTTGGCCTTCATTCATATTCCTGGGCGACCCCTCCACGATTCTCACGTTCTCCCCGAAGACAACAGATCAAGCTCTAATCTCTCCGTGTGCGTTTCCCTTGGATGATTTTCTTTCTCCTTCCTCTCTTGAATCTTAATGTGAGCCGACGCCCCGCTGATATAAATCTCCTCGGCCGTTAACATTCTGAACACCGCCCGTCTCTCTAAATCCAAGGACAGGTTAAATCTACTCTTAGTTTCATCAATACACCGACACAAGAATCCTGATCAGTATCAGCCAAAACTGTTTGTCTCCGTCTGTAGTTGTTTGTTTTGCTGGTAAATATAACGTATTTTTAATAAATCTCACGTCAAGATGCAAATATTTACTACAATAAAACCTGTAGCCCACGTGGATTTTTACCAGCCCGTTTTTGCTGCCCTGCCCACATCTGCAGTGAGAGTGACCTTGAGGGGAGACAAAGCCACGTTACCACGTTAGCAGCGGGAGCGTGAGCGCAATTTGTCTCTGACACCGTTTTCACGCAACCTGTGTTTACATCATGTTCCCGTCCCATCGATGTCCCACAAAAAAAAAAACAAAAGAAAACCCTGACCTCTGTCTCAGGTCGTGCCAGGAGCAGGGAGACGTTGGTGCTGTCCTCCCTGGTCAGGATGGCCACGGCTTCCTCTCTGTCCTGGATGTCGAATCCATTGATCTAGAGAAGTGAAAGAGAAAAGAAAAATCCTGGATGTCGAATCCATTGATCTAGAAAAGTGAAAGAGAAAAATGAGCAAATGATTTAGTTTAAGCCTCATCGTAGAACCTAAGGATTAGATCGATTCACTCTCTTCACTAAAGGGTTGAATTCTCCAGAGTTTAATCTCCGAGAGGCTTAGTGAGGATAATGACACCGAGGATGTTACAGGAGAATCTGCTGCGTTAACAGTCACTTAAGGGACGGATGTACGAATATATGAATACATATACATATACATATACATATATATATATATAGAGAGAGAGAGAGATACTGTATTCAATTAATATGCGGTATATATGTATATATATACATATATCCACATATATTTATGTAGATATAAGCAGTACATTTGTCATATATATACCGGTACACATGTTTATATATGTGTAAACATAAATGTATTTTATATGTGTAGTAAGTTTTATTTTATATTTTAAATATATGATATATGTCGTAACTATGTTTATATATAATATATGGTGTATATGTTTATATACTGTATAGTATTTGTATATGTATGTATGTCTATATATGCATGTATATATATATTTATATATTCTATATAAATATATATATATATATATATATTTATATGCTTGTTCAACAGACCACATTTCTGCTCATTTAAAGTTGTCATGTGATATTTTTACAGATTTACTACAAGAACACGTCTGAACCTGGAGAATTCTGTCTCCCTTGCGGATGCGGCCGTCTATTGCAGCGATACTGTTGGGGTTGACCTGAAAGACAGAGAGTGGAGAAGTGAAAGGTGAGTTGAGAAAAATGTAATTATCACAATTATTCTTTTCTTTACACATTCTCTACTCTCAGTGTGTGTCGTCGGTCATCAACCTGGGGGTCGGGTTAAAGTCCTGGTGCGTTTTCTTACCTCTCCTATGTATATTCCCAGGTCCTCCTCATCATCGGTTCTGTAGCACACCGTCAGTCCCAGTTTGTCCTGCTGCCGCAGCTTACACAGCTCCACCTCCTGCAGAGACAGAAGGGTGAGTTTGTCAGAGAGACAACGGTGGGGGGGGGCGGTCATTAACGAGCTCTCACCTCATATTCTAGCTCGTCCTGTCGGTCCACTTCATGCTGACTTATGTCAAAGTAGTCGTTTGGGTCGTAGTAGACCGGTTCTGTAAATCTGAGGAGGACGAGAGGACAGAGTGTTAACATGACCGACCAAAACACCTGAAGACAACTGGACAGAGTCCAGAGGTCAACGACCCCGCCCCAACTCACAGCTCACTGAACAGATACGGCTCCAGTAACGGGGGCAGAGGAGGTGACGGAGGAGGGTCTGGTTGGGGTGGGTCTCCACAGGGGTGCGCTCCGCTCTTTCCCAGAGTCAGCATATGCTGGAAGCTGATGTCTGTCTGGGTGCAGCTGTCCACGCAGTCGGCAACGCCCATGGTCACTGACCCGAAACCGCCCGCAGCTCCTGCTGCTCCCGCTTGGCCGCGAGGCCCCCGCCTCAGTATGCTGGACAGTAGGGGGTCCCGTATGTCCACGACGGGATCCCTGGAGAGACGGGACAGTTCCTTCCCGTTAACCTGTAAAAACAAAGTTAGTCAGAATCAACGAGTCCATCTGAGACTTAGTCACGTGTTACTGACAGAAAAAAAACACAGGACGACAACAGAGGAGGACGACTGAGGAGGGGCGGGGGGGGGGCTACACATCCAGGTTAATGGGTTAGTGGGACACAGGGACAGGGACAGGGTCCACAGTCAGGGACTGAGCTAAGTCAACAGTAAGTCAACGATAACATCTGAACATGAACTAGTTTGAACCAGTTTAACACACACACACACAGACACACACAGGGGTCCCGACACCAGGTCACATGACGCAGACCAAATGACAGTTTTAAAAACCTTCAGTCGACCCTCAGCATCAACAGAGCGCAGCATGTTATTAATGTGGCTCCTCTGTGGAGAGAAGGAAAAAAACAGTGTGGAGGAGAGTTAATATAGGAGTTAGGGATAAAGGAGGGTGATGGAGGAAATAAATATATACATATATTTATATATATATTTTCATTGGAAGGACATGTTTGAGACACCTGTCTCTGCAATTATATATATATATATATATATATAGTTGAAGACAC